AATAAATTTAACCAAGGAGGTAAAAGACCTGCACTCAGAAAACTACACAACACCAAAGAAAGAAATAAGGAAGACACAAATAAATGGAAGCACATACTCATGGACTGGAGCATTAACATCATCAAAATGTCCATCATACCCAAAGCAATTTATAGATTCAACACAATCCCTATCAAAATACCAGTGACATATTTCACAGATAGAGAACAAATATTTCAAAAATTTATACGGAACCATAAATGACCCCGAATAGCCTCAGCAATTTTGAGAAAGAAGAACAAAGTAGCAGGGATCACAATACCTGATATCAAACTATATTCCAAGGCCCTGTAATCAAAACAGTCTTTTATTGGCATAAGAACAGACACATAGACCAATGGAACAGAATAGAGAGCCCAGAAATAAACCCATGTCAATATGATCAGTTAATACTTGACAAGAGGGCGGGAACATAAAATGGAGTAAAAAAGCCTCTTCAATAAATGGTGTTGGGAGATCTGGATAGGTACATTTAAAAAAATGAAACTAGATCACCAACTTATACTATACACCAAAATAAACTCAAGGTGGATAAAAGACTTAAATAGAAGTCAGGACACCATAAAAGTCCTACAGGAGCACATAGGCAGGAAAAATCCAGATATCCCATGCAGCAACATTTTCACCAGTATGTCCCCTAGGGCAAGGGATATAAAGGAAAAAATAAACAAGTGGGTCTACATCAAATTAAAAGTCTTTTCCACAGCTAAAGAAAACATCAGCAAAATGAAAAGGGAACCGACCTTATGGGAGAACATATTTGTCAATGATATCTCAGACAAGGGTTTGATTTCCAAAATATATAAAAAACTCACAGGACTCCACACCAAGAAGACAAACAATCCAACTGAAAAATGGGCGAAGGACCTGAATAGGCACTTCTTCAAGGAGGATACACAGAGGGCCCAGAGACATATGAAAGGATAGCTCAGCATCCTTTTAGCTATCAGAGAGATGCAAATTAAAACCACAATGAGATACCACTTCACACCAGTGAGAATGACCATCATAACCAAATCAACAAACAAGTGCTGGGGAGGTTATGGAGAAAAAGGAAACCCAGTGCACTGTTGGTGGGAATACAAAGAGGTGCAGCCACTGTGGAAAATAGTATAGAATTTCCTCAAAATACTATAAATGGAACTGTCTTTTGATCAAGTGATTCCACTGCTGGGATTATATCCTAAAAATCCTAAAACACCAATTCAAAAGAACCTATGAAGCCCAATATTCACAGCAGTGTTATTTACAATAGCCAAGTGCTACAAACAGCATGGGTGCCCACCATGAAAGAGTAAATTAAAAAACTGGGGTATGTTTATACAATGGAATACTACGAAACAGAAAGAAAGAAGGAAATCCCACCCTTTGGAATACCATGCATGGAACTGGAGAGTATTATACAAAGTGGAATAAGCCAGGTAGGTGGGTAAAGACAAATACCACATGATCTCCCCTTAAGTGGAACCTAATCAACAAAACAAACAAGTGAGCGAGCAAAACTGAACCAGAGACATGGAAATAAAGAATAAAATAACAGCCCTGAATGGTGTAGCTCAGTGGGTTAAGCGCAGGCCTGCAAACCAAAGGGTTACCAGTTTGATTTCCAGTCAGGGCACATGCCTAGGTTGCAGGCCAGGCCCCCAGTGAGGGGTGCAGAAGAGGCAATCACACACTGATATTTCTCACCCTCTCTGTCTCCTTTCGTGCCCCCTTTCTCTAAAAATAAATAAATAAAATATTTTTACAAAGTGACTAAAACAATGAAAAATGTTATACAAAATCTTTTAAAAAAATGACAGTAACCAGAGGTGTGGGGTAGGAAGAGGTGGTTGGGGGAGGGGAATAATGAGGGGAAGAAAAGAAAGAATGAAGTCAAGGGACAAGTATAAAGGACCATGGGGTGGGGACTAACTATGGGAATGGGCCGTGGGTACGGTAGGAGAGAGCCACAGGGGAAGACAGGCACAACCATAACTGAACAGCAATAAAAAAAAATCAGTTTTCCTAAAGGTCAAAGTAGATCAGATGTATACTCTGTTTGGTTGTTTTTTTTTTATTATTATTATGAACATTAAGATGATATGGTCTCTTTTCTCCCAAGATTAACATTGTGCAAAAAATATATATATACAACGCCAGTTTAAAATATTAATAAGAAATGATGATACTGCCCCCCAAAAGGGCTCACTCATACTTATCCTTTATCCTGAAAATTCTCTGACACAAAACTATAAGGTGTCTGGAGAAATTTTAACACCAAAAATTCCATACTCACAATTAATCCATTATTTATTTAAAAAACTGCACTTTAAAAGTGATTTCATGCTTTTAAATATTTTTCAAATTAGTAAGTGCCAATATTTTACCATCCATATTTAACCAAAACAAAACCAGAAAAAACCTACATTGGATAAATATAAATTATATAAGAGGAATGTTTCTCATAGTTATTTGCCAATAGGAAAAAATTAAAAATAAAATATGTCAATATAGATTTCAAAGTTTAGCCTTCACCTCTACTTCTCCCCATTTATCATTGCTATAAAATATTTTTTTTGACAGTTTTTACCACCTTGAAAAGTCAGCTTTTCAGGTAACAAATTCTCTTGCTTAATTCGGATGCTGTGCTATGTGTAAGAGAAAAAAAAAATAGCTACTGAATACAGAACCATCAAATTTACAAAATCATCAGGGGAAATGCTGAACACATGCAAAGTAAGAAATACAGTTATAGGGACTTCCGCCAAGATGGAGGCATAGGTGGAAACACTGTACCTCTCACAACCAAGTTTAAAGACAACAAAGTTTTAGTGAACAAAAACGCAGCCAAAACACAGAAAATCAATCTATACGAAAGTCTGACAACAACAAACTTTTCAGCCAGACCGGTAAGACGGGCAAAGCCAGCAGCGGAATGGGGTTGGGCAGGAGAGATCCACCAGAAAGACCCAGGCGCGCAACCCAGGTGCGCGACCCAGGCACGCAGGTAGCCGTGGGTGGATCCCAGGTGTGGAATAGCAGCAGGCGGACCCACTGAGGGTGCAAGGTGACAGGCTGACCGCGGTCATACATTCACGCACAGATAAACCAGCAAAGGAGCAAGCAGTCAGACAGTCCGAGCAGGCCCCAGCAACAGGAAGCAGCTGAGGGGACCACTCGTTACTGCTCCCCTTTGACCCAGCCCCCACATACAGCATCACAACCCAGCGACCTAGGCAGCCCTGCCCTGGAGAACAACTAAGCCTCCACTCCTTCTACGTAATAGGCGTGAACAGACCAAAACATTATGGCTCAAGAACTCAAAGCCCCAAAGCCCGTAATTCTAAGCAACCAAGAAATAGCCAAACTTTCATATGCACAGTTCAAAACACTGGTGATGTGGATGCTCACAGAACTGGTTGATTTCAGTCACAAATTAGAGGAACAAATGAAGGATAAACTAACTGAAATGAAGCAAAATACGCAGGAAACCAATAGTGGTGGAAAGGAAACTGGGACTCAAATGAAGGGAGTATACCAGAAGGAAGGAAAAAATGACCAAATAGAAAAGGATGAAGAAACAAGAATTCAAAAAAAGGAGAGGCTTAGGAACCTCCAGGACATCTTTAAATGCTCCAATATCCGAATTATAGAGCTACCAGAAGGGGAAGAGAAAGAGTGACAAGTGGAAAACTTATCTGAACAAATAATAAAGGAGAACTTCCCCAATCTGGCAAAGGAAATAGACTTCCAGGAAATCCAGGAAGCTCAGAGAGTCCCAAAGAAGTTGGACCCAAGAAGGAGCACACCAAGGAACATCATAATTACATTAGCTAAGATTAAAATGAAGGAGAGAATCCTAGAAGCAGCAAGAGATAAGGGGACAGCCACCTACATAGGAGTTCCCATCAGTCAGCAGATTTCTCAAAAGAAACCTTACAGGCAAGAAGGGGCTGGAAAGAAGTATTCCACCTCATAAAATCCAAAGACCTACATCCAAGATTGCTCTATCCAGCAAAGCTTCCATTTAGAATGGAAGGGCAGATAAAGTGCTTCTCAGATAAGATCAAATTCAAAGAGTTCATCATCACCAAGTCCTTGTTATATGAAATGTTAAAGGGACTTATCTTAAGAAAAAGAAAAAAAATATGAACGGTGAAAGGACAGCAAACTCACAGTTATTAACAACCACACCTAAAATAAAAGCAAATTAAGAGGACAGCTAGATCAGGAGCAGAACCATAGAAATGGAGATCACATGGAGGGTTAGCAACAGGGGAGTGGGAGAAGGAGAAGGGGGGAGAAGGTACAGAAAATAAGTAGCATAGACAGTAGGTAGAAAATAGATAGGGGAGAGGGCAAGAATAGTAGGGGAAATATAGAATCTAAAGAACTTGAGACATGTGGTCATAAAGGGGGGGGAATGGTGGGGGAGGGGGCGTGCAGGGGGGAGGGGAATGAAGGGGGAATAGAACAACTGTTAATGGCACAATCAATAAAATATATTGAAAAAAGAAAAGAAAAGAAAAAGAAAAAAAGAAATACAGTTATGTTTTATATTTAAACAAAGTTTAAAGAACAGATTAGGTGAGAATGCTTGCTTTAAGTGGCTCTCTCGCACAACTGAACCCCACCCCACACACACACTGTGGGAGTCCTGGCACACTTAGTAACCCCAGTTAGAATCTGGCAATAGGAAAAGACCATCGGTTACATGTTCGCAAGGAATGTTTGTTCCTGGATATCTTTAATCTCAACTGTCAACATCTGATTGAAATAAAGAAAGCATCTTTGTTAAGGAAATGGAGATGGTGAAGAGAAATAGGTGAAGGAAAAATAATTAGAATTACTCTGTTGATAGAAAATGACAGCACTCAAGGACAGCATCAAGTGACAGCTGCTCAAAGTCATTAAACGCTGTTTTAGGTTTGCCACAGTGTGCTCAATAACTGATTAAAGAATGCAGTAAATATACTTACCAAATATTTCCCCTCCGCTAGCATATTCTGTCACCAGATAAATCATCCGTTCTGTCTCCATAACCTGGTGCAAAGGCAGGAAAGTCATAGTGACACAAATGACATTATAGGATGAGAAGCTAATGACTCTTCCTTTGTCATCTGAAATATTAATAATCACTACTGCTTAAAGGAAACTTAAATCACTGGTGGGAATGGACAGATATAAATGTTATTAAGAAAGGGGAAAAACAGGTATTCCTCCAAGTTCTTAAAAGTAGAAATATTTACTACTTGAGAAAGACAGTCCTTTTGTTTCATGAGGCCTCTGTAATCTCTTAAATAAAACTGAGAAGCAAAGAAGTGGACAAGAACTCAAAAGTTGAAATTTAACACTGGTCATTTGAAACTCAAAATGTTTCCACCCAAACCTAACAAACCAAAAAACACCTTAGGGAAAAAAATGGGATTCATTCAAAAACTGCACAGAAATGACATATGGCCCTGCTTTTTTTAAAAGTAGAAATAACTTTCCACTACCTATTTATCAAAACTGGGGACAATAATGTAAATATTCAACACTTCAAGTAATGTAAACTACTCATTGCTTATTTTGTCTTGGTCTCTATTTTCCTCGTATATATTTATATATGGTTTTAATATATTTATATATTTAACATATTATTATAATTATACAAACATGTAATATATTATATAATTATATATATATTTTGCTAATATTTAGTACCTTTTAAATTAGTTGTAGTGTGTTGTCAGTCCTTCCTTCCTTTTAACCTTTTTCATTAAATATTTTTAAAGTAATATATGAGTATATACACTCGTTGTAAACATTTTAAATACCTGTTGTATAATCAAAGACCAAAGGCTTTCCTCTTCTCAACCCCTGCATTTTATTCCCTAGAGGAAACACTGTTAGTAACTTATATCATTCTACAGAAATGCTGTCCAATAGAAATATGAGCCTTACATACAATTTAACTTTTCTAGTGATCAAATTAAAAAGCTTTTTATAAAGGAGAAATTAAGCCCTGGCTGGTGTAGCTCAGTGGATTGAGCACAGGCCTGCGAACCAGAGGATCGCGGTTCAATTCCCAGTCAGGGCATATTCCTGGGTTGCAGACCAGTTCCCTGCAGGCCAGTTCCCAGCAGGGGATGCATGAAAGGCAACCATACATTGATGTTTCTCTTCCTCTCTCCTTCCCTTCCCTTCCCTTCTAAAGATAAATAAAATCTTAAAAATAAATAAATAAATAAAGGAGAAATTAATTCTAACATATTTACCCTAATATGTTGAAAATCATTTCAAAAACTTTTTAAAACTGTAAACTGCTTCAGTTTTTACATTCAAATTAATTTAAATAAAATTACAAATTCATTTCTGCCCTGGATGGTGTGGCTCAGTGGATTGAGTGCCGACATGACAACCAAAGGGTGGCCAGTTCAAATGCCAGTCAGGGCATGTTCCTGGGTTGTAGGCCAGGTCCCCAGGTAGGGGTGTGTGAGAGGCTATGGATTGCTGTCTCTCACACATCAATGTTTCTCTCTTGCTCTCTCTACTTCCTTACACCTCTCTCTAAACAGAAAAAAATAAAATCCTTACCAAAAATAAAATTCATTTCCTCATTTGTTCTAGCCACATTTTGATACTCAATAGCCATGTGTGGCAAGCAGCTATCATATTGAGGCATTCTAGACTTTAACTATACTTCACGGTTAATTATTTTGTTAAATTATTTCCCAGTTACTTTATCTTTGACAATTTATGTATTAGTACCATATAACAGTATTATGCATTACATTATAAAATATTTACTTCTTTTTCAATGGTCTCATGATACTCCACTGTGTAAATGCACATCAACTTAATTTTCTAATCTAATAACTGTCATTCTTTTTTCGCTTTAATTTTTAAAAACCGTATATATACTGGTGGTAGCTCACTACTTGTTATAGGTATTATTTGTAAGCAATCTCTATATAACAAAAAAGAAGGTCTCTAAATACATGTAGGTACTTAGAAAAAAAGAAAAAAATGTCACATTGTATATGTATGCCTTTTCACCCCAGGCTTTTTACTGACAGCACCTGTTCTTTTATTGTTACTTTTCAAGAGCTCACCTATATTTGGCTCACTCTATAAACCTAAGGAGACTGAAGCTTTGGCAAATGACCCAAAAACTAATTTGATACTTCAGAAGACAATTTGATATTCACCCTGGCAGCTCAGACTCTGCCATTAACAATACTAGCTGCCAGAGAGCAAAATTAAAGCTTAAAAGAGAGCATTGTTCAAAGCCAAGGCTGAAAGGAGGGAAATTCTTACAGGCCAGTGAAATCTCATGTAAGAAAGGTAAACTTGCAGAAATCCATTATAAGGTTAATACTTATAAGTTAACTTTTTGAGAAAGATCAGCCTAAAAAGCCCTAGAATTATTTAAAGGTGATTTATTTAAGAAAGTGAGGTCAAGAAATTTACTCAGTCTATCAGAATAGGAAGCAAGCAGAGGTCAGATACCTCTGAGTTTGCAGACATAGGTCTTCAAGCAATACCAGAAAGCTTTCACAAGTTTACTTCTGGGGTATGATGTAGATATGGGTTCAACATAATTTAATCTGATAAATCTTAACAGGTCTGTTCTGCTGATTCTAGTTCAATTTTACTATGTGAGTAGCTAATGACAGAGAAAAACCCTAAAGCTGTAGCCTTAACCACATACAGTAATATCATGACATGATTTCTTCTGGGCCGATAACAATTTACTGCAGGCTAACGGCAGCAAACGAACACAGTGGGTAGCCATTTCCTGCAGAACTAGGGGATGGCTGTTCTAGTAGAAAGCATAGGCAGAGCTTGTGGCTGCCAACACAATACAATTTGAGAAGCACCCCAAAGCCCCACTTTTTCCAAAATATCACTTCCACCAGTCTGATAAGACAAGATCCTCCCCTATCTGACTTGAAATTGCAGCAATTCGATTTACGGCTTCTGCAGTAGGGATAGGGAATCATTTTTGATGATAGCATGGAATATGCATGTTTCTTGGGAAGGTAAGAAAACTAAATTAGAAGTCTCTTCCATTATATAGACTCAACCTCTTGGTTATCAAAATAAGCAAATGCTACCTTGCAAAACTAAAAACTAAGTCCGGGCCTTACTAGAATAGAAAGGAGATAGGTTCTGGCTGATACAGGAAGCCATACTTTATCATTTGCCTTCATAATTTATAACATTATCACACAAATTAGTGTTTAGATAATGTTATAAAAATGTGTATTCATCTCTAGCTTCTAATGTCTCAAAATTCTATGTTCCTTTTGAGTTTCCCATTCTGTTTTAAGATTCTGACTTAAGTTCTCATCATCTTCTGAATGACCTTTTTGTGTAATTTTCACTAAGAATGGCATAAGTACTGAGCAGGGGGATGAAAGGGTGGGGAAAATAGTAGGATGAACATGTTAACATGGGAACAAAGTTGCAGATGTTCACCCAATCAACCTTTACTTTAAAGGGTTTTTGTTTTTTTATGCTGCCATGCAATAAGCCACTAGACTCCTACCTGGTAAAGCCTGATGATATGGGGGTGGCAAAGCATCTTCATAATTTGAACTTCTCGGAAAATCTTCTTCAAGTTTTCTTCATCTAGCTGGGTCTTGTCTATGATCTTGATAGCAACCTTGTAACAGAGGAAGAAAATTTACTCTGATGCATTCATTATTAAAAGGGGCTTACTAATGAAAATTAAATCTACTGTAAAACATTATATTTCATAAAACACAAGCTGCCAGTATTTTCTTTGCAGAATGTCAATGAATTTACTCTTTTTAAGAAGATAGGAAATGAATTTTTAGCAAGTTTGTCTCAGAGGAACAGATTCAAAAGCTAATGAGTTTTCTGCCATTTCTTAAACTGTTTCTACAGTAAAATCCCATGATAAAGTACTTCATTACTCCATAGATGTGGTTACAGTCTGAGCAAATCATGCTGTAGTGCAGAGCATGGTATGTAGGGCCTCTTATAAGGACAATAAACTTTATCATAAGTACAGATGATTTAGTTATGGTTCAACCAGAAATTACAAAGCTGCGTTCCACATCTCATCAGGTGCTTGTACAGCTCAATAATACTGGTGGTGGTGGCAGCAGCAAGCAGTAACCACATCCTGAACATTTGTGTGCTAGGCATAATTCTCAGTGCTTTTCAAGTACTAAGTCATTTAAACCTCATGACATCCCATATTAATATTAATCTTGTTTTACACATATGGAAACTGAGACACACAGAGATTAAGTAATTTACATTTATATGTGGTAGATCCAGGATTGAAGCCCGGGCAGCTTAGCTTTAGAGTCAAGTTCTTAATGGCAATGATATAAAAATGTGAGGCTCTTTCTGTACTGTATATACAGTGCATTAACATTAAACAACTTTTTTATTTTGCCTATTTTTCTTAAGATATTCAGCAGCACAAAAAACTATGAAAGGTGAACTTTTAAACAATCTACTAAATCTAAATTTCCTCTTTATTCTTAGTGAAATTCTCAAAATATTGTGGTACTCCAAAATAATTGTGTGCCAATTTCAATTACTCAATCAGCACGTAAGCAACGAATAATTAGTTGGATGAAGGACCAGGACTAGGCAAATGCTGGTCCCTTTCAATACTTAAAATTCTATGATTCTACATACTGGGATAGGTAAAGAAAACTTATTTAAGAAAAAAAGCAAAACCAGGAAAGCAAACTATGAACACTAAAAATGTTTAGCCCAGAGAAATAAAGACTGTGTGGAAGTATATTTGATAGATGATACAAAAGTTTGAAGACAGCATAAAAGTAAATTAGTTTGGAGTATTTCAGATGTTAGAATGAGGACTAAAGGGAGACAGCAAAAGGAGACAAATTTCAGCTTGATTTAAAGAGTATTTAAACCCTGCCTAATGATGGAACATAATAAAATGATCTGGGTGTCATTTCAGCTCCAAAGATTAATCATACACAGCCTTGACTTCAAGAAATTCACAATTTACAAAAAAAATATGTGAAACAAACAACAGTAGAGTGTTGTAATACAATCACTAAAGCTTTGTGCAAGATATAATGGTATGATCTTCACCTGGGAGAAAAGACGTAGACACAGGAAAAGACTTCATGGTGAAGGCCTAACTTGAGAGAAAATTGGGAAAAACAGAAGGGTAGAAAATTTTATGAGGAGAAACAGCAGAATCAGTAACAAATTTCACCAGCTGTTTGATTTCTTATAAGATGTCTCCAACCAACTTTGGGCCTAGATGAAGGCGTAAGTAGACACACTGTGCCCCCTCGCACAACCAAAAGAAGGACAACAACAATTTAAAAACAAAAAAATGACCAAAACTGCCAGAAAATCGAACTGTACAAAAGTCTGACAACCAAGGAGTTAAAGAAGAAATATTCATCCAGACTAGTAGGAGGGGCGGAGACAGGCAGCTGGGTGGAAAGGACTAGTTATAGAACAGAGGTCCAAGGTGGGGCAATATTTGGGCCATCCGGGGATGCCAAAAACTGTTACAGAACAACGGGGCTCCCCCCAGCCCCTGGCCAAGGACAGTATACTAATATCATTGGGACCACCTACTGGGCTTGTCTGTCCGCTGCCAGAGGAAAGACATCTCTCAAAGCCAGAGACTTGTAAAAAGGAAAGGATATGTTTATTTAAAGCTATACTGATTTAAAGTAGTGTCCCAATGTCCCCATTAAAATATCAAAGTCCTTTTGGATACCCATAGATGCCCACAGCGCTTCCTTCACCCCTGCCCTAATTCGGGGTACCATAACTCTGGAAAAGAAGCACACATCTGTGTTTCAGGCTGCTAGCACTGTCAACTGTGTCACCATCCAAGCAGAATCTCTAATTACTCCAAAGCCATGTGGCACCTTCTCATGGTCTACTGGCAAGGGTTCTTTGTACCCACTTTCCAGGCAAAGTCTCTCCTGCTTCGCAGGCCACGTGGCCAAAGGGAACACCCCAAAGCCGTGTGGGCCTCTTCTACCAAAGCTGCAGGGGTCTGCACTCTGGCCAAAACCACATGGTTCTTTCCTTCACATGGCTGCAGGGGTGGGTAGGGTCACCACTCTGACAAAGCAACATGATGATTCTCTCTACCTCCAGCTGTGGGGGGGGCCCACTCTGTCCAAAAGCACGTGGCTCTCTCTCAGTGACTGTGGTGTCTGGGTTTAAATCCCCCTGCCAATATTCCTCTGTACCCCCATTTCTGACTCCTCCCACAATCAGTTACACCTGCCAGCATTCCTGTATTATTCCAGCTTTACTGAGCTGCCATCATGAGTCTGAGTAGGTATGGCCCCATATCCTGGAGCCAACTTTCCCCAAGCTCCCAGGTAAGCACTATAACTCGGGGGACCTGCCCCCCAGTTCCACCTTGGGGGGAAGTGACTTCCATAACCCTGGCTCCAAGCCTGGCAACAGCCATTTAACATATCCAAGTAACCCACCAAAGCCTACAGATATGTTAAATAACGAGGCCATGGATTAGCTGCAAGGCTGTGGCTGTACAAAACAGCCCTGCATGTTCCTGCTCCATGTGTCCCTTCCCCCAACTTACACCTGTGGGGGAAGGGGTGAGGACATCTTATATGTCTCTCCAATATTTCCTATAAACACCTTGAGTTCTGGACCCCATTCCAAATGCCTTTTTGGGGCCCCCCTCTTGGCTGCACCCTGTTATCACTAGAGGCGGTTGGTAGAAAGGGCAGTCCAACATTTGTGTGCAGAAAAACTGAGAGGAACAACTAGGGAGTGAGAATGACTGCGCAACCCAGGGTTCCAGTGAGGAAAAATAAAGCCTCAAAATCTCTGACTGAAAAACCTGTGGGGGGTTTTGCAGACACGGGAGAAACTCCCAGACTCAGAGGAAAGTTTGTTGGAGAGACCCACAGGGAACTAGAACACACACAAAACCACTCACCCAGGAACCAGCACCAGAAAGGCCCAATTTGCTTGTGGGTAGCAGGGGAAGTAACCAAAAACCAGTTGAGAGCTAAGCAAGTAGCACTGATCCCTCTTGGATCCCTCCCCAACATACAGCACCACAACACAGTGATGTGGGTTGCCCTGTCGTGGCAAATATCTAAGGCTCCTCCACTTACTATGAAACAGGTATGCTGAGACAAAAGGGGGGAAAAAAGGCCCAAATGAAAGAAAAGATCAAGATCAAAGCTCCAGAAAAAATACAACTAAGCAAAAAAGAGACAGCCAACCTATCAGATACACAATTCAAAACAATGGTAATCAGGATGCTCACAAAATTGGCTGAGTAAGGTTACAAAATAGAGGAAAAAGTGAAGGCTATGCAAAGCAAATGAAAGGAAAATGTAGAGGGAGACAATAGTGATAAAGGAAACCAGGACTCAAATCAATGGTGTGGACCAGAAGGAAGAAATAAACATTCAACCAGAACAGAATGAAGAAAGAAGAATTCAAAAAAATGAGGAGAGGCTTAGGAACCTCCAGGACATCTTTAAACAATCCAACATCCAAATCACAGGGGTGTTAGAAGGATAAGAGGAAGAACAGGAAATGGAAAACTTAATTGAAAAAATAATGAAGGAGAACTTCCCCAATCTGGCAAATGAAATAGATTTCTAGGAAATCCAGGAAGCTCAAGACAGTCCCAAAGAAGTTGGACCCAAGGAAGCACATACCAAGGCACATCATAATTATATTACCCAAAATTAAAGATAAGTAGAGAATCTTAAAAGAACCAAGAGAAAAGGAGACAGTTACCTAAAGGAGTTTCCATAAGACTATATCAGTTGATTCTCAAAAGAAACCTTGCAGGCAAGAAGGGCTGGAAAGAAGTATTCAAAGTCATGAAAGGAAAAGACCTCCATCCAGATTACTCTACCCAGCAAAGCTATCATTTAGAACAGAAGGGCAGATCCAGTGCTTCCCAGATAAGGTCAAGTTCAAGAAATTCACCAGTACCAAGCCCTTATTATATGAAATGTTAAAGGGTGTTATCTAAGAAAAAGAGTAAGATTTAAAAAATATGAACAGTAAAATGACAAACTCAAAACTATCAACAACCGAACCTAAAATCAAAAACAAAAATGAACTAAGCAAACAACTAGAACAGGTACAGAATCACAGAAATGGAGATCATATGGAGGGTTATCAACAGGGAAGGGCAGCAGGGGAATGGAGGAAAAGGTACTGGGAATAAGTAGCATAAATGGTAGGTACAAAATACACAGGGGGAGGTTAAGAATAGTATAGAAAATGCAGAAGCCAATGAACTTTTATGTATGACCCATGAAATTAAACTAAAGTGGGGAAATGAGGGGGGGCACATACTGTGGGGGGGAGTAAATGGGAGAAAATGGAACAAGTGTAATAGCATAATTAATAAAATATATTTTTTAAAAAAGAAGTATTGAACCATATGATCCCTAACCACTTGCATTTCTGCTTGTCCTCATTACTGTGCCAAATCACATACAAGACCTTAAATCCAGCAATTAATCTGGCACCTGCACTTAATTCTCTAAGAACAGTTCCCAAAACACAGAGACAAAAAATCACAGTATACAATGTCCTTTTTCAGAATAAATACCTGGGTCTTAATAGTTATTATTAATAAAACCTTACACATGAAGAGCACACTATAATTTACAG